AGGGCGGGTTCCTGCCTGAAACCTCGCCCTCCGGGAAACAACTGGGAGAAGGCACAGCTGTTTCCAAGAGGACCCCTGCAGGACTGACTTCTTTCTGCTTGGTGCACTTCTGGATGTGATGTTACACCGAGGGTTTTTATATAAGTAGATTAGTAAATTTCTAAGAGATAGAAAGCATTAAATATATCCTCTGTCATTACTATTAATTTTTCTAAGATAAATTTGATCTCCCCTTTTATCACAGCCTCTAAATTGTTTCCCCTAGCTTTTGAGCATTCATATGAAATTATCAATAGGCAATATTTTCTTTTTATTTTCAAATCATTTTTTTATTTTTCAATTACAGTTGGCATATAATATTATATTAGTTTCAGGTGTACACCTAGTGATTTGACATTAAATAACTTACTAAGAGATCATCCCACTAAATCTTGCACACATCTGACACCATACATAGTTATTAGAATGTTATTGACTATATTCTCTATGCACACACCCCGGACAATTATGTAACCACCAATTTTTACTCATTAATCAATTTACCTTTTTCACCCATGCCCCCAACACACCTCCCACTTGGCAACCATCAAACTGTTGTCTGTATAAATCTGTTTCTGTCCTTCTTCCTTGTTTATTTTGTTTTTTAGATTTAGTTGTTGGTAGATATGTATTTGTTGCCATTTTATTGTTCATATTTTTTATCTTTCTTTTTCTTAAAGAAGATCCTTTAAATTGCATGTGATACTAGTTTGGTGGTGATAATCTCTTAGTTTTTTCTTATCTAGGAAACTCTTTATCTGTCTATTTATTCTAAATGATAGCTTTGCTGAGTAGAGTAATCTTGGTAGGTCATTGTTTTTCATCACTTTGAATATTTCCTGCCACTCTCTTCTGGCCTGCAAAGTTTCTGTTGAGAAATCAGCTAACAGTCTTTTATGGAAGCACTCTTGTGGGTAACTAACTGTTTTGCTCTTTCTGCTTTTAAGATTCTCTCTTTGTTTTTAACCTTCTGCATTTTAATTATGATGTATCTCGGTGTGGGCCTCTTTAGGTTCACCTTGTTTGGGACTCTGCACTTTTCGGACTTGTATGCCTATTTCCTTCAAAAGTTAGAGAAGTTTTCTGTCATTATTTTTTCAAATAGGTTTCAGTGTCTTTTCCTTTCAGCACACCTATGATGTGAATGTTGATATGCATGAAATTGTCCCAGAGGCTCTTTACACTATTCTCATTTTGGGAAGATTCTTTTTTCTTTTTGCTGTTCAAATTGGATGGCTTTTGCTTCCAGCCAATACATTCCAAATCACTGATTTTCCCTGCCACTGTAAGGGTATGTTCTCTGTATATATAATTCTTTGTAACTGAGTTCTAAAGTCTAGACTGGCAACAGGTGAGGAAATATCCAAGGAGTGAAAACTTGGACTATCACCAACCCCACCCCCCCTTTCTTGGTGGTACTCCTTAGCTGCTTTTCCTAGGGAGATTAAAGTTTTGGAATGACTGTGTACTATACAACACTATCCCATAAATTAATTAGAAGTCAGACAGGGTTGGGCAAAAGTAGGTTTACAGTTGTGAGCATGTGAATTTATTTTTGTATTATTTTTTAGTAATTGTTGTATTATTTTCCATATGAATACTTGTAAGCCTACTTTTTTCTTATATATCCTATATTTTAATCTTTTGTTGTTTCTCTTTTGAGCCTCAGTTTGCTAAGCTCAGAGAAATATGAGAATAGAACTCCAAACTCCCCAAATTTTCTAAGTTGACATCAGTTCCTAGGGATGTTTACATCTTGAACCGTGGCTGAGATGACACCAACTCCTTTCAGTATTTCTCACAAACCTATTCTTTCTCCTGTGGTCCCTACCTAAATTCAATGAAAAGGAAAAAAAAAAAAGAATTCCCATATTTAGGAACAAAATGTTTATTTGGCAAGAAAAACCTCATTAAATTGCGCTACATCTAACAAGATTCCTAAGGTGCAAACTGGGTGTGACAATTAACCTTTCCTTAGCTCTTTGCTTTTCCTTCTTTATTTCACCTTTTCCTATTAAAGTCATGCTGTAACAACTGGGATAGTTCTGAGAAATACATCATTAGGCAATTTCACCTTTGTCTGTACTTACACAACACTATACATTGCACTTATACAAATATAGATTAATTAGCCTACTACACACCTAGGCTATATGGCATATAGCCTATTGTCCCTAGGCTTACAAGTCTGTATAGCATGTGACTGTACAAAACAACACGATTTTAAATCCAGCACAAGAGAAAATGATGCAATCAAGTGATGTGGTAAACACAAAATGTATGAGGCTGCCAGCTGCATAATACAGCATACTGTTTTACAGGAAACATTTTTTAATAAGGAGATTGAGTACACTATAAGTAACAATAAAAAGTTTAGTATAATGAATACATAAATCAGTAATATAGTCATTTATTATCATTATCAAGTATTATGTACTATACATAATTGAATGTGCTACCACTTTTAAAGACTGGTAATGCGGGATATTTGTTTACACCAGCGTCACCACAGACAGACACGTGAGCAAAGCATTGTTCTATGACTTTTACCATGGCTACAGGGTCACATGGTTACAAAGTCCCTTGCTCCATTATAATCTTACTAGAGGCCCAATGCACAATTGAAATTGCACGAGGAGGCTTGCCGCCTCCTGCCTTGCCAGGAGGCAACCTGTGGGGTTCTGCACTCGCGTCTGAACTGCATAGCCCCAGCCATCACGTTGTGTCAGCTGGGGTGGGGGCAGGCGCTCCTGTGAGTTGTGTCTCTGCTCTGGCCCGCCCCCAGCCCCAGCCTCAGCCTCCCCGTGGCCACTGGGGTCGGGGCGGCACACAGTCCCCTCCCGCCCATCTGCACCCGCAGCTCCTCCTGAGCGGTGGTGATGCTCGGCTAATTAGCATATTCCCTGTTTATATATGTAGATGGGACACCATTGCATATGTGATGCATCATTGACCAAAACGCTGTTATACAGCACGTGGCTGTATTTATACCATCAAAATATCTTTCAAATGCCTACAATGCTCACTTCCATGCTGCCAATATCCTCTCTCACCTGGCATATTGCTTCAGGCTCTCAGCTGCTCTCTCTGCCTCCAGGGTTACTTCACTACATTTTATCCACTATGCTGCAGCCGGAATACTCTCTAACTGCAAATCTAGTCATACAATTTCATTCACCCTTCTGGGTAAAGTCCAAACACTTAACATTAGCACATCATTTCCTCTATGGGATGGCCTCTGTCCATTTTCCTAGGATCTTCTATTAGGTTTCTAGAGATGGAAAGGAGGAGTTGGAATTAGTCCATGGGGATTGGAGATTGCACAAAAATATCTCAGATCGAAGAAACAATACAGGAGATGGAGAGCTTGACACATTGGAAGGTATAACAAATTGTAAATATGAATGAAAAAGGAGAAGGGAATGAGTGTCAGTGATGAAAGAACCCAGTCATTGATTAGAAGAGTCCTTCTTATTTCCTGAGGGAAACTTACCATTAGGCTAGAAGAATGGATTGGTATCATTATGCTTTCCAAAAGAGACTTGTACTTTACCACTTCAGCAAATACCACATTCTATCATAACTGCCAGTTAACTTCTCTGTTCCCCACATCGAATATGCTTCAAGACAGAAGGTTCTGCCTTATTTATATGTCCTCAATACTTTGCACACTGACTTTATCCTATAAGGTAGTCATGGAATATTTGTTGAATGAATGAATAAATACATTTACACATCAGGGGGGAAATCAGATTATCCTATTCCTCTGCTTAAAATATGTTTCCATGTGGGGCCTCAGAAAGCAGACCCTCAGGCCAAAATAATCTGCTATATTATTAGGGAATGCAACTGCAGGCAAACTCAGGTGAGGGAAACTGAGTAAAATGGCAGAAGAAAGGAGAGCCAATTTGAGGGTGATCACTGGCTACCCCTTGATATATAGAGCAAGTGTTTTCTTAACCCATGGATTTCAAAGGGTGTATGAATTATGGTTTCAGGGCCATTGTTTCCCAAGGGAATGAAAAGAGGAGAATTTGTCTTCTACCTTCAGTAGTCCTTTGGTCAAAGCATATCCCTCTACTACTCTTAGTTACAGCATAAGAGGCCATTCTCTGGGCCCTGCACTTTATATGGTTCCACGGCATTTGCATCCTTCCCTGGATGCACCTTCACCTACAAGTTTCAAAGTCCATGGAACCTGAGCTTGGCCACTCAGAGTCCTTGCCAAGTCAGAATGCATGCCTTCCTTTCTAGACCACCCATTTTGGTGCTCCCATTCATTCTATAGCACACTGCATTTACTGTTAGTAACACATTATAATGTAACTACAGGGCTACCTGTTTGTATTCCGTCTAAGAGACTATCAACTCTTTGAGGACAGGGTCATGTTTTATTAATTTCTGACTTTCCTGTAGTATTCATAGTACTTGGTACATACTAGGCTAAAACTATATTTGGATTATAACATTTTAGTGGGTCTATGAAATGGTTCTGTAGAAAGATTTGGAGTGTTAAAACTCTGAAAAAAAATGATCACATTTTGTTAACAAAAATACTTTGTAAAAAGTAATATACAACAAAAATAAATAGCAATAGCCTGAAGCTTTATTAGTGTATAGTCATGTCTTAAAAAGAACATCTTTCAGAGATACTAGAGATACTATAAACTTTAATGTAGCAATTACTATCTTAACTACAATACATGGTGTAAATCAATGGTGGCATTAAATCTTGTCTAAATGACTAGAATGTGAGCTAAAGCTCCCTTTGTAGCACATATTTCTTTTAGTTGATTTTCCTTCCTTTAGGTTTGTGGTTTTTGTACAGAAGCTTTTAATAACAGGAAAATCAGGGATCATATTATTTCAGTTTTGCAAAAATTATCTCCGTAGGAAAGTCTGCAGTCTAGAAGTAAGTACCTAGTGACTTATGAATGTGTTTGCAATGGAAAGCAAGAGACTATTGAAATGATAATCCAGTAGAATAAATTGGTATTTTTATCTTTGGTATCAATATTTTTAAATGTCTCAAAGTAATAAAAGCGTGAATTCTAATCTTGTTTTAGAGACTCTTAAGATGCCCAAAAGAAATTGCAAATATTCAAAACAAATCTCTTAATTCCCTGCAAATTTTTAATAGGCTTTACAAATAGTTATTCCCAGAGCTTTGGATGATCTAATAAACAATGATAGAGCTCAATTCCAAAAAAATTAAGAAGCATTGATGAAAAACATTAATTGCTGCCCTCCTGGCCCAAATAGTTTGACTTAAATATTAAAAGCAATATGATATTCCAAAAGCTGCTCTGTCTTTGCTTAATAAAGTAATTATACATCTCACCTTTAAGAAGATATTCCAAATAAACTTCATCAAGTCCAAGTATGGTGACACTGTGAATTCTGTGATTCTAGTCTCTTTGTTTGCAGTGGCATTTCCAATGAACATATCACTTAATGTCCTTACTCTGAAAGAGTAAAGGAGGTTGTCAAATGCTTATTTCAGTTGAGTTCCTTCCATGATAGTCATTGAACTGGACACTGGAAACTATTTTTTATGTAGTTTAAAAAGTATTGAAAACATTTAAATAGAGTATCTGAATGACCATGTGCACATATATCCAGTCTCCCAATGAACCCATCTCTCATGCACTTGGTGAAAGTTTACAAGCAAGTGAGATTACATGAGCTCACTAATATCTTCCATGCTACATGTATAGGGTGTCCCCCAAAAATGAATACACACACTTTGAATAATTATAAAGGCAAAATTTTCATTTTCAAAATTTACCTATTAGCTGTTAAAGTGTGTATACATTTTTTGAGACACACTGTACATTTTTGTAAATGCCATTTTCTTTTCCTTCCAATCTTTTCTAGTCTTCACATAATATTTTTGTTTCATTGTTCTGCTCTTCCCTTATTTATCTTTGTAAAAATAAATGAACATGTTAAAGTACTTAAACTTATTTCATTATTTTACTTTGGTGTACTTATTTTTGTTCATATTTTTCTTATACTTATTAGCAACCCATTTCAAAGAAAATTCAATGGAAAATAGCTTTCATTTATTTGAATAACAAATGAACAATGAAGAATTCAAAGTATAATAACATCTATGAATATTCAGTTGTAATGAAAATATTAAAACAGTGTAAAAGAATTCAAGTTTTAAAACTTACATCCTCAGTAAACCACAGAAGCAGATGGGGAGTGGAATCCAGTGATGTGACTAATTTAGTTTCCGTGGCTTCCATAGGCTCATTTATTATGTGAATGTTCGACATTTATCTTGATTATCTAAAGTCAAAAAAATTTAAATGATGCTTTAATGAATCTGACATCTTAAGAAGGCGAAGGAGAAAATCTCAAATATCAGTACAAAGAGGCATTAATGCTGTCATTTGTAGTGGAGTGAATCACAGTCTTTTATACTCTTTGGATTCTATTAGTAAATAATCAATGTTACATCACTCTCTCCCAGAAATATAACTAAAAGTAGGCTACTAAAAACAACAAAAAAAACCCACAGAAAACAAAAACAAGGCTGCTTTATGTACCGATAGAGAAGCACATGTTCTCTATGGAATAAGTGATTCTTTGTCTCCTCCTTGCCACATCAGAGGGTCCTGCCATGATTTGAAGTGCAGTAGTATGCTTGCAGTGACAAATGACATTTGAATGCATGGGAAACTGAAGAGCATTCCTATGTTAGCTTGAAACAGGTGGCATTCATTTGTGATCATTTCCCTTATCTTGACCCAAATGCATGCGTTTAACTGAAGCATCCCCAGAGTGCGGAGCAGGAAAATTGTAGATCTTGAAATCTTCATTGTATTCAAATGGTCGGTGTGGGTTCATCAGGGAAATAAAAACAAACAAAAACAAAAAAAGTCAAACTTTTAGAACATATTCTGACAAATATGATGAGGTGAGTGACTGTCCTCCTTCTCTCTGCCACTTCGCTGTACTAGTGAGGGTGATTTTATAAGATGCAGCAGTTTCCTCTGAAGATGACAGGGTAGAAATTCTGAGGGACTTGGACTGTCGAAGTCCTCAAGACCCTCCAACATGTCTTAAAACACAGATCAGTGAACCAGGAGATACTAGACAGGAGTCTCCAACACAAATAAACCATGGTGAATTTCATGGCGGCAACTAAGGAGGACAGCACTGTTGTAGTGAGTAATTCTTAAATTTGTAGGATAATATAACTCAAAACATGTAATTAAAAAAAACCTGGAAAACATTGTTATTTATTTACTTTTAACATTTTTGTTTATTTATTTTTAATCCTCAACCAAGGACATGCATTGATTTGAGAGAGAGAGAGAGGAAGGGGGGGAGAGAGAAAGAGAGAGAAAAACATTTATGTGAGAGAAAAACATTGATTGGTTGCCTCCCAGAGGTGCCCGACTAGTGATTGCACCTACAACCTGTGCCTTGACCAGAATCAAACCCGCAACCTTTTGGTTTACAGAATGACACTCCAACTGAGTCACACCAACCAGGGCAATTTTTATTTTTATGAAATGATTTTGGTGTGTAATTTTTTTAAATTTTATTTTTTAATTCATATTCAATATTATTTTATATTAGGTCAGTCAGGCTTTGGTTGAAAAGTATTTGTTCTAGCCCTAACTGATTTGGCTCAGTGGATAGAGCGTTGGCCTGTGGACTGAAGGGTCCCAGGTTTGATTCTGGTCAAGGGCATGTACCTTGGTTGTGGGCACAACCCCAGTGGGGAGTGTGCAGGAAGCAGCTGATCGATGTTTCTCTCTCATCGATGCTTCTAATTCTCTATCCCTCTCCCTTCCTCTCTGCAAAAAATCAATAAAATATATATTTTTTTAAAAAAGAAAAGTATTTGTTCTATTAATTAAATTTGTAATTTATTAATTCATAAATTTTATGATAATTTACTTATTTACCATAAAAAAACTCCAAGGGAAAAGTATAAAAATACTGTCATTGTATCTGGGATCTCTTTGTTAAATATAAATGTTTAGGACCTGTCTTCCCCTGTTCTTCCCACCTCCTCAACTCCCTATTCATAGGTTGTATATGACAGAGCTGTTTCTGTTCTGATTTAACATGTATTTGTATTATTATGTTAATTTCTGGTCTAATTGAATTTCTTCTCTATACGTTCTTTTCATTTGCTTATTTCATTCTTACCCTAAGGTAGGCTATTTATATTAGAAAGGATATTATAGGTCCTATGTTCCAGCTCCCTGAGGAAAGAGACCCAAAAAAGAGGGATATTTCAGGACCATATACCAGTATCTGTTGGCGGGCAATCTGAGACTAAAACCCAGGTTTTCTTATTTTGAGCAGTAGAAGAGCACATGTTGAGGAGTCTGAGTATCTGGACCCAGGAACAAATCCATCTCTTCATCTCTATCTCTGCATTCTGCATTTGTAAAATAGTGGTAACAGTAGCTGTTTTGCACTCTCACAAAAAATAGAGATGACAAGAGATGATATATGTGACAGTATTGAGGAAGAGTAACTAGTGATTATGTAATTGCAACACTCAAATAGAAAAAGAGATGGGATGAATGTAGCCAAGAGAGTCTCACTGGTTTTCCCCTAGGCTGCATCCCTGAGCTGAATCACCTTAGGGAATTTTCTATGGTAGAAAGTGAGGTGATCTCCATAAGAAATCCAACTTTGCAAGTAAAATATGAGAGTAGCTCTGTTTCTCATGGGTAAACTCACATTAATTAGGCTATTAATGGCGAGGCAGAAAATTTGTCAATTTATAAAGGGAGCTCTACTGGCATCTAATTTAGAACACCTACATTAGCAAAACTGGTTTATTCTCCCCTGGAGGCAAAACCATAAAAAAAATAAAATTATAGCCGAAACCGGTTTGGCTCAGTGGGTAGAGCGTCGGCCTGCGGACTGAAAGGTCCCAGGTTCGATTCCGGTCAAGGGCATGTACCTGGGTTTCGGGCACATCCCCAGTGGGAGATGTGCAGGAGGCAGCTGATCGATGTTTCTCTCTCATCGATGAAAAATAATAAAAAAATAAAATTATAATTCAATGGTCTACATGTGGTCATGGAGTCAAGTAAAGGGGATTCAGTTAAATGATTAAAATGTTTAGTGGCATCTGGCATGATAGGTCTTTGGCTCCATTTTCATGAAATAACAAAGAACTAACATTTAGTAAGCACTTACAGGGTACTTAGTACTTTGTGAGAATGATCTCATGGATTATTTACAACTATCTTAGGAGAAAACATCCTTTTTATAATTAGTTTGCAGAAAAAAAAGTAAGGCTTGAGAAAGTTGGCGGCCTATTACATCTTCAATAATATTCCCCACATCTCTCCTGGATGCTCACCTGCCTCCAGGCACTCTGAGCTATCAGTTCTTTGGAAACCTCAGGCACACTCCTGTTTCCAAGCTTTTGCATTTGCTGTTTTCTATGCTAAGAATCCCCTTCTAGACATCTTCATGGCTATTTCCTGCTCTTTTTTCGCTTTGACTCCAAAGTGACGGTCTCAGTGAAGTTTTTCAATTCTAAAATTAGTTCATTCCGGAAATTTCCAATCAGCCCAAACCAAAATTTTATATATCACAAATTTACTTATTTTTCTCAAAGTACTTATTAGTAGCAAACATAGTATATAATTCATTTACACATTATTTTATTGTCTATCCCTTCTACTAGAATATAAACTCCATAAAGATTTTTAGTTTTCCTAAACTACTCTCTCCAACAGACCCCTACCTGACTCTGAAAGCTTAATAAATATTAATTGAATGATTGAATGAAGCACTGCCCAAGGTGATGACTTGAGTGGGAAAACCATCCAGCCCATTAAATGTTCTCCCCCTCTTTAAACAGTAGAAAGAACCAGCATCAGTAACACTGCTTCTGTGACCCTCCTTAGGCTATGAATGCTTTCATTACTGATTAATTTGCTACCTAATTGCAGTATTTTTTTCTTGAACACCTTCAGTCTCCTTTTGTAATCTGGGAATCAGCCATTAAGGGTACTGTTTTACAGGAGATTCTATCATGAGAACATAATTTAACAAATGAAAAAGGTGAACTCATTTTTAAAAAGAAGCAAATTTTCATAGGAAACTGGAAAAATTAGAATTTTACATCTTGAAATTGATAATATTTATTTCATCTTATATTAACAAAGTGTTTTATAATAACAACTTAGAGCTATCTTTTTAAAAATCAATAAAAATATATCAAATGATCCTATCTCATAAAGACAGAATATGCAAATTGACTGTAACTCCATGACAAAGATGGCAGTGCCCACAGCCAATAAGGAGGGAATATGCAAATTGTCATGGCAAGGTGAGAGGTGGAAGGTGGCTCAGGGCCAGAGTGAAGGCAGTGCTGGCAGCCAGGGGAAGGAAGGCCTATTTTTGCACAAATCTTCGTGCATCGGGGCTCTAGTATTTTCTATAAAAAAACTATATGGTGATATAATCTTATGCCTTTTTTTGGAATTTCTTAGTCTGACTTTAGTAGATTCATTTTTATAAAAGTATTTGTGAGTTTAATTGATTTTCCAAAGGTCTTGCTTTAATCCTTTAATACCTTAATAGTTCCCCTTTGGAAAGCTCTATGTTAGCCTTCCCTTTTCCCACCCTTTTTACTTTTAACTCATCTAATTGCTGAATCCTCATCTCAGATACCACATACAAAGACTGCATTAAATTCCTCATTTTATTTTCATTGTCTTATTCCATGTTAACAGATGTCAGTCAGAATCGGCCCTTACTTAGCCCAGCAGTGATTAGTATGTACTAAGCTGCTATTATGTATTAGTTACAATGCTAAGAGTTATGCACATATATTACTCCACAACAGGTTAGTAATAGGGAAGCTGAATCTTGCTACTCAGCTGCTAAATGATAAATATTGTGTCTCCAACTCTCTACAAGCTCCTGGCTCTTTCAACACAAGGTTAAGAATTGAATAAAGTTACTAATATGGTTTTATTTGAAGAGCTCCTTATAGAAGGCTGCCTCATCAAACCATTTCTTCCATTAGCTTGGCCCAAATTTCCTTATTAGAGAGCCATTAACCTGAATCTATGACTTTAAACTTTTAATTGGCCTGCAATTTTATGCCAAACATGAATTTTTAGTAATTGGTTATAATGAAAGGGGATTGGCCCTTACATACTTGCCTTAAAGTTCAAGTAATTTAACCTCTTGGAGTCTGTTTCCTTCTCTTTAAACTGAGAATAAGAATTTATGCTGAAACAATAAAGCTCAGAGAGACAATGCCCGTAAAATTGAAGTGGCAAATATA